GTTCTTTATTTATGATTCAGTTTTATTACTAGGGCATAACTATTCAAGATGTCAGCTCAGTTCACATTGATTCCCAACTTTTAGCTGAATCATATGGAAGCTCAATTTTTAATTTTTTTCCTAAAGGATACAGTCCATTAATTAATTAATTAATTTCCTTGTCAGTCGTGGGGCTCAAACTCTGGGTTTAGGCACTGTCCCTGTGCTCTTCAGTTCAAGGCTGATGCTCTACCAGTCGAGCCACAGCGCCACTTCCGGTTTTCTAGTGGTTTATTAGAGATCAGAGTTTCATGGATTTTCCTGGCTGGCTGGCTGTGAACCTTGATCCTCAGATCTCAGCCTCCTGAGTAGCTAGGATTACAGGCGTGAGCCAGGGTGCCCAGCAAGGATACAATCCTTTCATTATCCAAGCAAACAAAACCTCTAAAGCACATACGAATATCATTCCTTACAAATTATACCCCTAATACTCAAAATTTTAGAACTAATTTCAAATCATTTTTAAAATTTAAATTGTTATTTTAAAGTGATAATACCTAGGGATTACAGTTGGATGTCAGGTGATGAGTACATTTTTATTTTATTTATTTATTTTTGTTGGTCATGGGCTGCTTGAACTCTCTGGGCCTGGGCGCTGTCCCTCAGCTCTTCAGCTCAAGGCAAGTGCTCTACCACTTGAGCCACAGCGCCACTTCTGGTTTTGAGTGGTTTATTGGAGAAAAGAGTCTCACGGACGGAAGTGGCGCTGTAGCTCAAGTGGTAGAGCACTAGCCTTGAGCTGAAGAGCTGAGGGACAGCACCCAGGCCCAGAGTTCAAGGCCCACGACCGACAAAAAAAAAAAGAGTCTCACGGACTTTTGTGCCCTGGCTGGCTTTGAACCATGATCCTCAGCTCTCAGCCTCCTGAGTAGCTAGGATTACAGGCATGAGCCACCAGCACCCAGGGAGTACATTTTTCTGTTGTTAAATTTAATCATATTGTAAAGGTGTTGTACTGAGAGGTTACAGTTACATAAATAAGGTAATAAGTACATTTTTTGTCAAACATTGTTACCCTGTCTTGTTTTTCTCCCACTTTCCGTCCTCCCCAACTCCTCCATCCTGAAGTTGTAAAGTTCATTTCCAACATAGTGTCTTGTGAGTATTTAGTACATTTCTTTTTTTAACAGTGTCACCCCTTCCCTCACTCTTCCAGTTTTTCTCTCCTGTTCCCACCTACAAGTTGAAAAATACACTGGGACATGATAAATTATACAGGTCTCAAGACATTCACACAGTGAGACTAAAGGAGAATATTCCTAGGAGAGGATCACATAGCTTAATAGCTATGTGCATATGGTCATATAAAATAATATATATCGAAATGAACTCTAAGAAATAGAAGCAAGAGGCTTTTAAATTTTTTCTTTGTTTTCTTTACCTTTTGTTTATAAATTTATGTGTTTTGGGAAGGATAAAGAGGGGCACAAAGGGTGAACAAATACAGTGTTGATACTCACTAGATACTATGTTGAAAATTTTTAATTTTTTAAGGAGTCTCCAGAGTGACCTTTATATACATTTCTACCAATAGTGAATAAAGGTTCATTTTGTCACTTATCCTTGCCAAAATTTATTGTGCTTTTTCCTTCACGATGAGCATTCTATTTTGTTTTAATTTTAGCAAGGATTTTAGCATATAGAATAAAATAGAGAGGAATGGGGAAAAGGAACAAACATTTTTTGCTCCTCCTGCAAGAAATGGTAGTAAAGGACTTGTCAGTAGGTTTCTTTCTTTCCCTCCTTCCCTCCTTTGTCTCAGTACTGGAGCTTGAACTCAGGGCTGAGCACTGAGGAGCTGAGGAACTTATTCACTCAAGTCTGGTGTTCTACCACTTGAGCAACAGCTCCACTTCTGCCTTTTTGGTGGTTATTGAAGATAGAAAAGTTTTACAGACTTTCCTGCCTGTGGTGGCTTTGAATCTTGATCCTCACCTTTCAGCATACTTAGCAGGCTAGGATTATAGGCATGAGCTACTGGTTCTTGTTCATCTTTTGGCAGCTTGTTTCTTCATTTGCCCGTTTCTCTGACAGCTCATTTTGATTTTTATTGTACACCAGACATAATAACCAGTAATAAGGATGATTATCTGTACTCTAAAAAGTGTAAGAAATACATTTCTCTCTCTTTTGTCTGATCTTAGAGTAACATTTCAGGTTAATTTGAGTCAAAGAAACCATTGGGGGTAGTGTGTAAGTAACAATTATGGAGATAAAATTTAGAAGCTAAATAATAAGGTTGTTCAAAGTGTCCACAATGCTGACCTGAGTCTGCTGCATTTTCATGTTTATTCTTACCAAATGGATACCAAAGAAAGTGAAAGGTGGTCCCTAAGAATCTCCCACTGTCACCTTACTAGAACCCAGTAGGTCATTTAAGTCTTTGGTTTATTGGAGATATTTTTGTGTGCTAGAAATTTAGAGTGCAATCATGTCTGCTTCTTGTGCAAGTGTGTGCTTTCCATTTGCCTGTTTATTGATTGAATTATTTGTTCTTTTAGTGTTAATTTTTTGATTTCTTTATACATTTTGTTTATTAATCCCCTATCAGATGAATAGTTACCAAAGATATTGCCCCATTTTGTAGTCTTATCTCCTCACTCTGGTAATGTTACTTGGCTATTTAAAAGCCTTTTAGTTTGATACAATCATAGTAGCTCTTGCTTATATTTCTTGTGCTATTGGAATCCTACTTAAGGGTCATTGCTTATGTCTATATTTTGAAGTGTTTTTCCCTAGTAGTTTCAGTTTTAGGTATTATATTAAGGTCTTAGATTGTGTGTGTGAGAGAGAGTGTGTGAGCACTGAGGCTTGAACTCAGGACCTGGGTACTGTCCCTTAGCTCTTGTGCTCAAGGCTAGCTAGCACTCTACTATTTGAGCCACAGCTATGCTTCTGGCTTTTGGGTAGTTAATTGGAGATAAGAGTCTCAAGGCCTTTCCTGTCCATCTCAGTCTCTTGAGTAGCTAGATTACAGGTATGAGCCATTGGCGCATGGCTTTGATCTATTTTTTTCTTGATTTTTGTACAAGGTGATGGAGATCTGCTTTTTGATCTAGATGTGGCTACCCATTTTGCCCAGACCTATTTGTTAAAGACTATCTCTTTGCCAGTGTATGCTTTTGGCATCTTTGGCAAAAATTGCCTGGCTGTTTCTGGTTGGGTTTGTTTCTTAGTACTCTATATTTTGTTTTGTGCTGATGCCAGGTTTTCTACTGTGGCTCTGAAGTATGTAAAGTCAGATATTACAGTGTATTACAAATAATTTTTTCCTCCTTAGGATTGCTTTGGCTATTCTGGGTAGTTTATGCTTCCATATGAATTTTAAGATCAGTTTTCGTATTTTTGTGATGTCACTGGAATTTTTATAAGGATTACATTAGCTCTGTGGGATGCATTTGATAATAGAGCCATTTTTGTATGGGGGGGGTCGGTTATGGGGCTTGAACTCAAGGCTTGGGTGCTATCCCTGAGCTTTTTCACTCAAGGCTAGCTCTCTACCATTTTGAGCCACAGCACCACTTCTGGCATTTTTTTTCCCCCACTTTGGTAGTTTAGTTGAGGTAAGAGTCTCTCAGACTTTCTTGTCTGGCCTGGTTTCAAACTGTGATCCTTAGATCTCAGCCTCCTGAGTAGCTAGTATAAGGTTCTCTCTTAGAAATGCCTTTACTGTGTCTGATAGCCAAGACTTGAGGACACGAATAAGATATATTTTAATAGGAGAATGAGGAAGTGTTCTTAGAGAGAACATGTTGAAGTTACCTCATGGCTCTGACTCTCAAAAGCTGTATCTCACTTTTGATATTTCTGCTCGTTTGTTGGCTTCTTTGATGAACTTCAAAGATTCATTATCAGTTTGTACAAAACATCAATTAATATTTGTTCATTCAGAAAGACTTATTAAACATCCATATACTAGAAAATGTATTACACATTGGCTAGGCAAAAAGGTGAATAAAATGAGTGTGTTTGACATTATAGGGTACATAGTATAGTAGGGGAAAAAATGAGATGTTTGAAACTAAATAAGGAAACTGCCATGCTAATATTTTACTGCCGTGCTAATATTTTAAGTATTTAAATAGTGTTTTAAAAGTGAATGTATAGTGATTTTTTTCTTAAAGCTTACAAAATATATTTGAGCATTCATGCATTTTTCATGCATTATTACACATGTATTAATATGTGAAACATTACAGAGGCAAGACAATTGGAACTGAGAAACAGAATATGAAGTAGAATCAAAGTGTATATGTATATATATATATATATATATATACATATGCATTGTAGTGAGAATTCTAGGTAATGACAGTAATAGATTTGTGTAAGTGAAATTATGTTACTTTTGCAGTAAAGTAAAAAATACCTATGGCTTTTCTTTCTGTAAATTATTGGTACTTAAGAATTGAACATTTATATTAAGTGCTGAGGAACAGTGGTGAAATTTCTTCTTAGAACTAGAGTAAATCTCTAAAATAGAGAGGTATAATAGGGCAAATGAAAACCTTGAGGCCTAAGATCCCTTCCTAATTATGTGACATTGATCTCTGGGATTAGGCATGTGCCTAAGATCCTTTATTCCAGCAGTACAGCTGAGGAGCTGAGTTTGGTGATCCTTTCTTACTGTGAAATTTTAGGATTTTATTTTTTTTTTTAATTTAGCAGTTCTTAATAACTTTACTGCAAAATCAATTTTTTTTTTCTAGCCTTGTTCAAGGTTCAAAAGTTAAAAACTTACGATGGGAAGAAGGCTTTGCTTTCTCTAACTGATGTTTTCTGACTAGGTACTTCGTAACTCAGGAAGACCTCATTTATTCCCAGTAATATGTTTTACTAAACTCTTTCAGGTAACTTTAAAAAGACTGTGTGACTTAATAATAGATCATGGTTTGAACTCAATTTTTATTTATTGTTGTTATGAAAAAAATTTAGTGAGATATTTTTCTTTGTCTCTGTAGTTATCAGAGACTGCTACAGACAATTGCTGTACTTGAGGCCCAGCGTTCTCAAGCAGTCCAAGACCTGGAAAGTTTAGGCAAGCATCAGAGAGAAGCACTAAAAAATCCCATTGGATTTGTGGAAAAACTCCAGAAGAAGGTACACATGTGATTATATATTTTTTTAAAGATTTACTCAGATAATTGATAGTAATTTAAGAGAAGTTTGTTTATTCTTATGACTATATGCTGTTTTTTAAAAACATTTAATTTTTCCCCTTGTACAATTATAACTACCACCTAACACAGTGATATTTACTGAAATAATAACTACAGCTTTTTTTGGAAGTAGGATGGGGATTGAACCCAGTACTTCTGACTTGCTAAGCAAATGTTCCATCACTTGAGCCACTGTCTTAGTTCTTTTTCTTTTAGGTTGTTTTTCAGAATGTAATATGGTCTGATGCTAACTCTGCCTATTCTGGCCTTGAGCCATGATCCTCCTACCTCTGCCTCCCTAGTAGCTGTTAATCACAAGCTGGGACTCAACTTAGTTTTGCTTTTCTACCCAGGCTAGCCTCAAAATCTCAGTCTTAGTGTTATCACCTTCCAAGTAGCTGGAAGTACAGGTTTGTGCCAGAATGTAACTACCAGTTTTACTATTTGGATAGGGACTTTTTGTCCTATTCCTTTGCCATTTTCCGTTCCTGTCTAAGAGCATTTTCTCTTTTCTGCTTTTGAGGTTGGACATTGGGATTAGTAGAGCCAAAAATAAAAAGTGAAGTGTATTAGGACTTTTTAGCTGCTTTGTTTTGAGTTACTTTTGCACATTAACTGGGAGGGAAAAAAAAGTTGAAAGATCTCTTTAAAGTACCAGTGGTTCACAACTATAATCCTAGATACTCAAGAGGCTGAGATCTGAGGATCATGATTCAAAGCCAACCTGGGCAAACAAATCCAAAAAACTCATTATCTCCAGTTAGCTAGCAAAAATCTGGAAGTGGAGCTGTGGCTCATCTGGTAGAGTGCCAGCCTTGATTGAAAAAGCTAAGTGAAAGTAGTACCTAGGCCTTGAGTTTAAGATGCAGTGCATGTGCGCGCACGCATGCACACACACGTTTTAGGGTTATAACCAGGTCTATAAAAAGAATATATAAGTTGCATTTAATTTTGAAGTGCTTTTTATTAGTGTGAAAAGTACTCATAATTTTCTGTTTTCCTTAAAGCAACTTTTTTTAAAGTGTAAAGTTGACCAGTGGTTTCAGGAAAGAGTTAGATAGGAAGAGTTTATCGAACAACTAACCCTTTAAAAGTGAAACAACTTGGGGCTGGGAAGGTGGCTCAGTGGTAGAGCGCTTGCCTTGCATGCTTGAGGCCCTGAGTTCGATTCCTCAGCACCACATAAGCAAAAAGAAAAAAAAAGCCAGAAGTGGCGCTGTGGCTCAAGTGGTAGAGCGCTAGCCTTGAGCTGAAGAGCTGAGGGACAGCGCCCAGGCCCAGAGTTCAGGCCCCATGACCGGACCCAAAAAAAAAAATAAAAAATAAAAAATAAAAAAAAATAAACTTTGAAAAAAAAAGTGAAACAACTTTATGGTGATTTTGTGTGTGAGTGTGAATGTATGTGTGTATAAAGGTGGAGATAACCAGAGGCATAGTATTGTCAGCATTGTGTGGAAAAGAATAAAATTGAAACTATGAAAAAGAACTTAGTAGCTTTAAAAGAAAATTTATATGACAGTATCTTTCATGTATTAATAGCAGTATTTATTAATAGTTAATCAATCATTAGGCATTAATTTATTATTTGAATTTCTCTCATGTACTTGGTAAAATTTTTTCATGCTTTCAGAAAAGTTTAAATTTCATAATTCATAATAGGATTTGTGTATAGTGGCTTGTTAAACAGTTTTAAGGCTTTTAGAGATATATTTTACCAATAAGACCCTCTAAAATATGTTTTATTGATTTTTGCCTTATTAAACAACTTCTTGTAAACAAAGCCATTGCAATGTTTTATTGATTTTTGCCTTATTAAACAACTTCTTTTTTTTTTTTTTTTTTTTGGGTCCGGTCGTGGGGCCTGAACTCTGGGCCTGGGCTCTGTCCCTCAGCTCTTCAGCTCAAGGCTAGCACTCCACCACTTGAGCCACAGCACTACTTCTGGCTTTCTTTTCTTTTTGCTTATATGGTGCTAGGGAATTGAACCCAGGGCCTCATGCATGCAAGGCAAGCGCTCTACCACTGAGCCACCTTCCCAGCCCTAAACAACTTCTTGTAAACAAAGCCATTGCAATTTGTTATGGCAATTTATAAACAGTCTTAGAGAAGAAAATATAAATAAGAAATGTATTAACCTTAATGTTTTGTGAGCCAGGCATATATTTGTATGCAGTAAAGTCTAAATGTCTTAGGTTTAATTTAGAACTTAATTTCTTTTTAATTTTAATTAAACATATGATATTGACTATTGTAATTGTTTTACAAAGATGAGCAGAATTAGATCTAGTTACTTTAATAAACATGAAAATCTTACATTCCTTAAAGATTTTGTACTGGATTTAACTTAGAAGTTTGATTCTGAAGATTTAATTGTGCTGAAGTTGAAGCTCAAAGGTAGAGTAAGTCATAGTTTTAACTAGTAAATTCTAATCATTGTTTTACAAATGAGTCATAAACATGAGGTACATTCGAAATCAGTTCAGCATATCAAGTTCAAGTGTCAGAAGATGTTGATGTAGTGTAGAACTATAAATATATTTTGCCAAATTTAATTTTCCATTACCTATTATCCTCTTTAGCACTTAATGTTTATATTATCTTAGTTAACTTTATTGGATTCAGTTAGTGAATAGAAATGCTCATCAGCTAATCTTGAATTTGGTGCCATCTGAAAATTTGAGTATAGAAGATTCTTGAATTAAATTCAGACTCTAACTTTGTTCTTGTTTTGTTTTGTCTTTCTCCAGGCTGATATAGGGCTTCCATTTCCACAGAGAGTTGTTCAGTTGCCTGAGATTGTATGGGACCAATATACCAATAGCCTTGGGAACTTTGAAAGAGAATTTAAAAATCGTAAAAGACATACTAGAAGAGCTAAGTTAGTTTTTGATAAAGGTAAGAAATCACAGGATGACTTTTTAAAATATATATACTTTTTATTGTAAAGATACTGTACAGAGGGGTTACAGTTACCCGAGAAAGGTATTGAATCCATTTCCTATCAAGCATTGTTACCCCCTCCTTTGCTTTTCCCCATCATCCCTTTCCTCCCTACCTCTACCTCCCATGTAAAGTTTGTTTTCAACATAGTGTCTTGTACATCTTGTTACAATGGGCCATTCTATATCCTTATTTCAGCATTTTGTTATTTCCCTTTCCCTCCCCAAATTAGAAAACTATATATACAAGCTGCAGGACACTGGAATCAATATAGTGACAACAGGGGTTGTGCCATGGGGGAAGAACGTATAAAGAAGCAAGAAAACATTGCATAATATAAGTACATTAAAAAGAACAAGAAAGATAAAAATCTCTTGTGTCCCTATCTTGGGGTTCGTTTTGCTTAGCATCAGGTTATATGGTCATATGTACATAGCTTTTGACCTTTTCTGCTTGTCCTAGACATATACTAGTTATTGCAGATAAAGGAAAATAGGATGAGATTTTTAACCTGAAAATTATCTGGTTCTGTCTTGCTCTAATAATTCCATATATTGTTCTGTTTTTAGTAGGTTTACCTGCTAGACCAAGAAGTCCTTTAGATCCTAAGAAGGATGGAGAGTCCATTTCATACTCTATGTTGCCTTTGAGTGATGGTCCAGAAGCCTCAAACAGTCGTCCTCAGGTAAGCAGTATGAAGTACTAGAGTAGTAAAGTTTGAACAGTCATGTGAACAAATGCAGTCATGCTATTTAGTATACACTATGTAGAAAATGAACTATTTTAAATTGTGGGCAAGAATGGGAGAGGAAAAGCAAAGGAATGAGTGACATTGTCCAAAAAAAGAAATGTACTATTTTCTGACTTATGAAATGGTAACAAATCTGTACAAATCTTAATAATAGCAATAAAATCACATAAGGTTCACTGTGAACTCTTCATTTACAGTCATTAACCTTCATTGTCAAATGAAGAGAAACCTGGCATTTAGTCAGATTTACCATATTATTTATGTTAAAGTCTCCAAGCAACAGAAAGTATAATTAAAATTTCTTACGTGTGGTTATTTTAAATGGGTGTTACATGTACTGTACCTAGTACAATGTTTGACATAGTCCCATCATTTGTATGATATATATCAAAGAGTAGTCTATGTTGTCAATTTGTAAATGACCTTATTATTTTATACTCAGATGATAAGGGGACGCCTGTGTGATGATACCAAACCTGAAACATTTAACCAGTTGTGGACTGTTGAAGAACAGGTAATATTTCTAAATTATACAGATTTTTAAAAATTTGAATGTTATTAGAATCAGTATTATGATTCAAGTGTGTATTGTTATATGTAATACCTTTTAACTGTAAGTGTGAGAAGTTTTAATTTTTCTTGTGTTGAGAAACAGCCAGTAAGGGAGTATTAGTACATTTTGACATATGGCCAGGATTGTTAGTGGATGAGTCTGAATGCATTGTTCTCTTAATAGTATCAGTGCTATAGGTATAGTTCAGCAGTTTATAAATATCCAAGTTATTGTACATCTTTAGGACTACATGGAAATTTAGAAAATAGTATATAATATTAAATATTTGAATAGCATACTACACAAAAGGAAGGAAAAGACTTGTTATTCTAAACCCAGTGAATTTACACATTTTTGTTAAAACTGGGAGATTGCCTAATATATGTTAGGAAAATAAAATAGGAAGTAGAAGTCACTAAGATGTGTGAAATACTGGTTTACTTAGTTATTTTCTCTTGTACTTTCTTTTATTGAAATAAATAGATAAACTTTTCTAAGGTCTTCTACAGGTATATTCTCTAATCTCATGTCCCTGTGAAATCTTAACTTCCTACTGTGAGGATTTGTAATTTCCAAAGTTGGGGAAGGATATTATACTTTGAAATGAAATGTGAATATATCTACTTAGAGAAATTCAGCATTTTAAATTGGCTTTTTCCCCCCCTTCAATTTGGTTTTGGGTGTGGTTTAGAAAAAACTTGAACAGCTACTACTAAAATACCCTCCTGAAGAAGTGGAATCCCGACGCTGGCAGAAGATTGCAGATGAACTGGGCAACAGGACAGCAAAACAGGTGATGGGGCAATGGCTGCAGTTCCTGGTTGTTATTTAATGAAGAATAGCATAGACAGCATGTGCATATCTGCCAGATCATTTCTAACCATGATAGGAGGTTTAAAAAAATAGCATCATGTATTTTTATGCTGATTTCAGAAGAATTTGAGATAATGTCCTACTTTGGACCATTACAAAATAATTTTTAAGAAAGACAAGTGGCCTTTATTTCTTGAATCCTGTTAGTTTATTAATTAGGTACTTTTTAGTTTGGCTATGTTGTGACATTGCTTTAGTGTCCCTCGATTGTTTTTTTTTAAAATGTTACCTTGCAATTTCTTCCTACACAGTTCCTATCTATATTAGTAGATACGTTTTTATGCTACAAGCATGAATATTCACAAGTTAAAAATATCCAGTTAGCTTTAGAATCAAATTTAAGTTTATTTGGATTATTTTTACCTAGATTTTAAAATATAAGTATATTTGATGATCATTTAAAGTTACTTCTATATTTCTGATACTAGCATTCTTTAGATACCTGTGAACCTTTTAATTTTTAGGACTACTTAAGAATTGCATACCATTTCCTTATGTTAGCCTTGTCATGTTTCTTTAGGTTGCCAGTCGAGTACAGAAGTATTTTATAAAGCTAACGAAAGCTGGCATTCCAGTTCCTGGCAGAACACCAAATTTATATATTTACTCCAAAAAGGTAAAAAGAAAATGGATGAAAGCAAACTTTAAATTCATTAAAGTCAGAATCCCTATATATTATGCTATATAGTGTAGCAGAATTGCTATATACATACACTATGTGCAGATTTGTCAAACTAGAGTGGCTTATTTTTAAAATACTATTCATGGTAAACATTTCATTATGTTGGGCATAAGCACAAGATAACACTTCATTATTGTAACTCAGAAAAATTTAGTGGCTTCGGCCCAGAGTTCAAGCCCTACAACTGACAAAAAAAAAAAAGCAAAGAAAAATTTAGTGGGCTTTAATAATTCATTATTTCCTTCCTTCCTTCCTTCCTTCCTTCCTTCCTTCCTTCCTTCCTTCCTTCCTTCCTTCCTTCCTTCCTTCCTTCCTTCCTTCCTTCCTTCCTTCCTTCCTTCCTTCCTTCCTTCCTTCCTTCCTTCCTTCCTTCCTTCCTTCCTTCCTTCCTTCCTTCCTTCCGCCTGCCTCTGTCGTCCCCCCCCACAATCTGTCCTAAAAATGTTATTTTGAAATTTATTCCTACACAGTTCCTATTTAGATAGGATCTCTCTTTTTCCCTCCCTCCCCCTTCTTCCCACCCTTTTTGGTGTCTAGATGCTATCCCTGAGCTTTTTTTACTTAAGGTCTATCACTTGAGCCACAGTGTAGCACCACTTCTGTCTTATTTATTATGTATTTATTAGTTTAGTGGAGATAAGAGCCTTACAGACATTTCTGATTGGGCTGGCTTTAAACCATGATCCTCAGATCTCAGCCTTCTGAGTAGCTAGAATTATAGGCATGAGCGATTGGCTGGACCCAGCTCATTATTTTCTTGAGAGCAGTATGAGTGAGTACTGTTTGTAAGATCTTTATATTGGGTCTACGTTAGGAAGGCCTTTGTGGGGTTAAAGATACTAAGATATTTCAGTATTTTATTTATTTATTTATTTTTGGTCATGGGGCCAGAACTCTGGGCTTGAGTGCTGTCCCTCAGCTCTTCAGCTCAAGGCTAGCACTCTACCACTGAGCCACAGCACCACTTCTGGGTTTTTCTGCTTATGAGGTGCTGAGGAATCAAACCCAGGGCCTCATGCATGCAAGGCAAGCACTCTACCACTGAGCCACCTTCCCAGCCCGTTTCAGTATTTTAAAAGTGAATTCAGAGATATGGTGCAGTGGTCCATAGGTAAAAATATTCATAGTTCATTGAAATTTAGGTAAAATGTTCAAGGTTAGGATAGTGATTCAAGGTTAGGTAAAAATGTTTATAGTTCATTAAAGTTTAGGTTAAGTGCTCATTAGTTAAAGATTCAATGTAAAAATGTTCATTCAAGGTTAGTTAAAAATCTCAAAGAACAAGGTAGGCATGATTGACCAAGCAGCAGTTCCAACTATATAGTTAGGAGGCATAGGTAAAGATTACAATCTGAGGCCAGCACAGATAAAAAACAAGAGATACCTCCTACTTAAAAAAAATAACCAAAACAAAATGGTGTGGTATGGCTCAAATGGTAGAGCTCTTCTTAGTGCCATGTAGTACCTTCTTAAGAAGTTGCTATTTTGTAGCTATGTCCCATAGATAAAATAATAGAAATATTTATTGACATCTTATTTAGTCCTCACTGTAGTCCCGAATTTTAAGTAGCAGTAACACATTTGCTTTACTGATGATAATATTAATAGGTAACTACTGGATCCTTTTTAATACATCAGGAAACTAGGCTGAGATAAGATGAATAAATTAAGTTGTTTAGTCATATGTAAATCTGTGAGCCATTGAGTTTCTGAATCTGATGAAAACTTTTTTCACTCTGCTCTGCAGACTTCCATAGTGAATGCTCATCTCTTTCCAATATGGAATACTTCATAACTTATAGTCAATTTTTTTGTTGTAACTGGAAAAGTAACACACCTGATTAGTTTTTAATTTCCTTAATAAATCACTCTGATACTGCCCCCTCTCATCACTCATCCTTTACATAAAGAGAAACAAAGATCTAATATTGTTACTTTTCCTGATGGAAGCTAAGTATATTTCATTAAGAAAATTGCCTATGGGCTGGGAAGGTGGCTCAGTGGTAGAGTGCTTGCCTTGCATGCCTGAGGCCCTGGGTTCGATTCCTCAGCACCACATAAGCAAAAACAAAAAAGCCGAAAGTGGTGTTGTGGCTCAAGTGGTAGAGCGCTAGCTGTGAGCTGAGGGACAGCGCCCAGGCCCAGAGTTCAGGCCCCACAACTGGACCCCCCCCCAAAAAAAAAAAAAAAAGAAAGAAAATTGTGCGTGTGCCCGTGCACATGTATGTGTGTCAGTCCTGGGGCTTGAGCTCAGAGCCTGGGTTCTGACCCTTGAGTTTTTTTGCTGAAAAAACTCAACCACTTTCCCAGCTCCACTTCCAGCTGTTTTTGGTAGTTAACTGGAGCTAAAAGTCTCAGGAACTCTCTTGCCTGGACTGGCTTGGAACTGTGATTCTCAGATCTCAGCTTCCTGAGTAGCTAGGAATACAGGCGTGAACAGCTGGCTTTGAAGTTTGATTTAATTTGCCAATTGTTTTTGAATATTTTGAATTTTCTCCCCACATGTAGCAGCTATCTTTATTAAATATATTGAATTCAGATAACTTTCTATAGCTTTGGAACATTAGACCTTTCATAGCCAAATCAACATAGGAGCTGTGATTTCGTGATTTATAAGTATGTTTTGTGTTGCACTTTATGCTTTCAACAGCTAAAACTAGATGATGATGCTAAAAGGAACAATAGAGAAACCTATATGTATTCGTTTCTTTGAGTGTATTTTATTTTAAGTTAATAGACATTTTGGTTGTGAAGATCTAGAACAACCCTAGTAACAGTGTCTCTTGGTATAATCAGAGATTAAGTTTTTCTTTTGTGTGTGTTAGCATTGGTACTTGAATTTATGATTTAGTGCTCTCACTTGGCTTTTTCTCTCAAAGATAGCACTGTGCCACACCTTTAGTCTGGCATTTTGCTTGACTTAATTGTAAATAATCTTTCAGACTTTTCTGCCCAGGCTGGCTTTGAACCAATATCCTCAGATTTTAGTCTCCTGAATAGCTAGGTTAGAGGACAGAACCATCAGTGTCCAGCTAGAGATTAAATTTAAAAATGGGTGAAATGATTCTCTGTGAAGCTGAGGTTATTTGTTGTATCCATGCTGTTAATCATGAGAGGCAGTCTATAGTGGGTGAGAATGAGGGCTTTGGCACCACAGAGGCCTTATTTGTCATTCTGGTTCTATCATCCTACATATGATACATTGAGCAAGAAATTTAACTTTTGAGTCTGTTTTTTTTTTCCTTTATATTGAATGTAGTATTATGGGACTGTTGTAAAATTAAATGACATTGGTATGAAATAAACAATCAGTGTTAAGGAATCATTTTCAGGTGTCCATCATGTTATGGAATATTTCATTTATTGGTTAGTTGTAGATCTGGTTTTGTCACTTTACCATACCTTATACCTCTGCAATTTTCAGGTACCCATAATGTTATGGAATATTTCTTTTACTGATTAGTTGTATATCGGGTTTTGTTACTTTATCATACCTCTGTAATCTTCAAGAAGGGAATTATTTTCAGGTATTCATTATGTAGGGAAAATTTCTTTCACTGGTTAGTTGTAAATCTGGTTAGGTCACTTTATCATACCTCTGTGATCTTCAAGGATTCACTGAGGCCAGCATTTGAAACAAAAATGAGAAAAGCTAGATTCTGAGTATGTGGTCCAGTGTTTCTTTGAGCTAGTTCCTCTACAGTGAGTGAGAGAGAGAGAGAGAGTGTGTGTGTGTCCGTCCTAGAGCTTGAACTCAGGGCTTTGATGTTGTCCCAGAGTTTTTTCTCAAGGCTAGTGCTGTACTATTGGAGCTACAGTTTGACTCTTGGGTTTTTTTTTTTTTTTTTCGGGTGGGGAGTGGGGATGGTTAATTGGAAAGAAAAGAAAAAACGAGTATATTGAAATGTAGAAGTGAAACCCTTCTGTTAGATATGATAACAGTAACATTTACTTGATTCTTTTAATGATTTTTCACTATTACAATAAAAAATTTGTTTTCTTATTTAGTCTTCAACAAGCAGACGTCAGCACCCCCTTAATAAGCATCTTTTTAAACCTTCCACTTTTATGACTTCACATGAACCACCAGTATATATGGATGAAGATGATGACCGATCCTGTTTTCATAGCCACATGAGCACTTCTATTGAAGAAGCCTCGGTAAGTTACTTGTTTAGTTCTTTTTTTTGAGGGGGGGGCAGACCTGGGGCTTGAACTCAGGGCCTGGGCATTCATTGTCCCTGAACTTTTGTGCTCAAGACTAGCACTCTCCCACTTGAGCCACAGCTGTACTTCTGGGATTTTGGTGCTTAATTGGAGGGTCTCATGGACTATCCAGTCCAGGCTGGCTTCCAATCATAATCCTCAGATCTCAGCTTTTTTTGGGGGGTCTGGTCATTGGGCTTGAACTCTGGGCCTGGGTGCTGTCCCTCAGCTCCTCAGCTCAAGGCTACCACTCTGCCACTTGAGCCACAGCGCCACTTCCACTTGTTAAGTTTTTACATGGTTCAAAGTATCAAATGAAAGTATTAGGATATTTTAATTATTTTTACTCATCAGAAAATGTCTTGTTCTTCTTGCAACGACAAGTCAAATTTAAAGTTTTGCTTTTGTTTTTAAGAGAACTTAAAAAAATTTTTTTTTTTTGGGTAGTAATACTGGGGTTTGGACTCAGGACCTCGTGCAAGTAGGTGGAACAGGACAATGACACTGCTCCCAACACTCAGCTTCAGTGATTGTCCTCTTGTAGCAGTCTGGATTTTTTTCCTCCCCATCCAATGCCACCCCAGGTTATTTTGGATGAGTTCCCAGACATCGTGCAACAATGGCTTTTTCTTTAAATAATGAAATATAACTTGTATATTTATATCTGAAAAAAGCCAACAAAAATTATCCTCTTTATTTTTCCTCTCTGTTTTTGTTGAACTGGATGGTTCATCTTGTAGAATTTGCCACAGTGTGGATTTGATTTATTGCATCTGTTTTGTGTAATCTTTGTTCTCTGAATTTCTTGCTAGTAGGTCTAGTGCATTGATCAGATTCAGATGTATTTTTATTTGGTAAGTGGGGTAATACTCATGTATCTTATCTGTCTGGTTATCTCTAAGTTAATAGCCAATGAGCATTGTCTAGATCCATTAATTCATTAGATGTTAGAAAATGACACTTTTTAAAATTCTCTCATTTGGTGGAATATTCTATTTAATACCCCCATCCCTATCCTTACCATCAGTTACAATTTGGTTACACTAGGGTTCATCTAGAAAATGTAAGATATAGCCTGGTGCCGGTGGCTCAGACCTGTAATCCTAGCTACTCAGGAGGCTGAGATCTGAGGATCATGGTTCAAAGCCAGCCCAGGCAGGAAAGTCAGTGAGACTCTTATCTCCAATAAA